CCAAAGATCTTTCCAGTTGTGCTACAGGGCCACAAAACACCATGGTGGCCAGGAGCAGAAGATGGATACCCACGAGGTGGTGCCAGACTGATGCGAAGGGAGTTGCAGGCCCTGAGCCATAGCACAGTGCCTGGTGGGTAGATGGTCCTCACTTTGTAATTACTCACCAGCCCAAAGTCTTGTGTTTTTTTGTTTTGGTTTGTTTTGTTTTTTTCTGGAGTTCAACCATATTGAAGTTGGCTTCACCCATGCAGCCACTCATGTTGCTCCAGGTATTTAAAAGCTTGAAAAAAAATCGAGTGTTTGAAGAACTGAGAAGGACAGGAGTTGCTGTGATGTGATCTACCTCCCTGGCCAAGGCAGCCAGCAGCTGCAAAGCCCAGCCATGAGGCCACCATGAGGGGCAAAGGGACATTGGCCAGGTGGAAGCTGCATCTTGCTGCTCATGTGGAGCTGCTGCTGAGCATGTGGCACCTCTGGTCTCTGTGGTAACACTTCCCACAAATGCTCTTCCAGTCTGGGATGGAAAACTCTATCATGGGCTATTAAATATGAAGTTCCTGAGCCACAAATCCTGCTCCAGACAGAAGTTCCAGGCTATCTGTACACTCCCATATAAGAGCCACTGCAGACCTTTGGCTCTTTCTATTGCTTTTTGAACGTTTTCCAGTCCAGCTATATCCTTCTGAGATGTGGGGAGTAGAAATGCACTCAGTGAATTGTGGATGTGTAGAGGGCTGTAATGATGTTCTGCCTTTTACGGATTCCTTTTTTTTTTTTTCAAATAATTTTTAACACGTGCCTCTAGTTTGAGCAGCTTTTGGGCTATCTGGTAAAGCCGAGCTCTTACTCCAGGGAAGCAATAGCTTAGTGCACATTATAAGACTGTAAAGAGAAGAAAATAGGAAAAATACATTTATCCCCATTCAATACCAGCTGCCATTTTATTATCTGTTCATACAGGATCACAAATTGTTGTTTCCCCTCAATCACCGATGGTCTTGTTATCCCAGGACCTGAGCGGGAGGTGGAAGCAGTGATTTAGAAGGTTGGGGAGGCTGGCGCCAGCACCAGGGTATTGACCAGCCTGGATGCCTGAATCCTCCCCAGAATGCTGCTTCATCCTTCCCGTCCTCTCTGCTCACTCCTCCTCATCCTTCCCAGCAGCCGGGGGGAATGGGAGGAAGGCAGGAGGCAGATGGTGCTGGGGTGTGTGAGGAGGGGACTGAATTGGCTTGAACTGGGGACAGAGTGGTGGTGGCCTTGGCCATTCCTCATCCCGGAGAGAAGCGGTGGTGGCCATGGTGGTGCTCTCTGTCCCAGCTCCCCATCCCACTGCACACTGGAGCATGGCCGAGGAGGGCTTGTCCCCATGCCCTGGAGTGGCGGCTGTTGCAGCAGGAGGTGTGCAAGGAGCAGGGAAGCTTCTCCACCTGCTTGCCCTCCATCTCCTCCACTCCTGGCAAATGCAAATACCTGGGAGTGTTTGTCCCTGGGGAGCTGCAGGCAGGACGTTGGGCAGCTGTGGGTTGTGCCTTGCCCTCAGGGTGGGGGATGAGTGGGACCATGCATCCAAAGCAGCTCCATCCCCTCCACACAGAGCAAAACGCCCTTGTGCACAGCCAAGGGAGAAGCGACAAGCAGCAGGATAAAATCCATGATGACCTGAGTACTTAAAAGTCAGCATGGTGCCAAACCTTTTGGGGTCTGAAAACCCTTTTGTCCCACACTGATGGGCTGGAATAGAGAACCATCTTTTTCCTATCCTCACCCTTCCATGGGATGCTCTTGGGGCCCCCCTAGCCCTGCCTGCAGCAGGATTTGCAGGGCCAGTTGGGTTGTGGTGTGACAAGCTGCTCAATGAAGGCTTTGAAAGGCTTTGCCTTATCTGCTCATCCTCACCATCCATAACTGGTCCCACACACTCACCATGCCACCAGGTTGATGTCCCGCCACCCCAGGCCATCTGCATGCCGGCAATGCTGCCGGTGGCCCTGTTTTCCCCTTGCTCCATCCTGAGCACCAGGACTCAGTCTGCTGCAATCCCCAGGGAGATAGGATTACTGGGCACTGTCATCTGGAGCTCAGATTGCCAGCAAAGTTTTTTGCATGCCCTCTTATTTAACTTGGTTTTTGCTGTCTTAGGCAGAGGACAAAACTTTTTAGGAAATAAAAAAGGGATAGAGCTGGGAGGCCAACATGAGCTATGGTTGTGTTGGGGGCTTTCACCTGCCAAGAATCCCGTGTAGGTACAGCCCCTAGCCCCAGCACAACAAGACAGACTCATCCCATGGCTCCATCCCACCTGAATGTCTCCATGCTGCTAGATGGCCACAGATTGCCCACACAGGAGAGCCTACCTGAGCATCAGTTAAAGACTTGCCAAAACACCAAGGCTTGGTGCCATGGAGCTCCCTAGGGAACATGAGGAGAGGCCTCCAGGGGCTGAGCAGCAGATTTAAGGCTTCACACAAGGTGAATTGGTTTTCCTAGATGTTTGAGAAACTGCTTCGCCCTGCCTGGGCAAGGAGACAGCCATGCTTCACTGCTCAGTCTGATACTTTAGGCATGATGGAAGAAGAAAAGCAGCTCAAGGAGCCATCAGCAATGTGGCTGGCGGGCAGGCATGGATGGAGGCAAAGCATGGTATAGAAGAGTATTGTGGCATGTAAGGACCTTCCATCTCTCCACTGCCATGTCTAGGGATGGAGTTTGGCTGTGCTGTGAAAGCAGTCTGCAAGAGAAGAGCCATCGGTGTCTCTAGCAGCATTGCCCCACCACCCTGCATGAGGCTGGGAACCAGGAGACACCCTGGTTCTGCCTGCTTTGACCAACTGAAATAGAGACCAACACGACCCAGCAGTTGCAGGGTGTCTGAGCTTTTCTCCCTTGAATGGAATCAAATCCTCATGGAGCAGCCATTGCCTTCCACCCACCTCCTACTGCTCTGTGGGGATTTTTCCCAGCCTAGAAACGGGGCCAGTAAGTGCTGGGCAACCACTGCCAGATCTTGGAGAGTCTTTCCTTTCTGGGTGCCAACACTGAGATGTTCCACCTGCAGTGCTGCCTCCAGTTCTGGGGCCACCAACATCAGAAGGACATGGACCTACTGGAGCCAGTCCAGAGGAGGCCACGAGGATGACCCAAGGGCTGAAGCACCTCTGCTATGAGGACAGCCTGAGAGAATTGGGGCTGTTCAGCCTGGAGAAGAGAAGGCTCCAGGGGGACCTTCTAGTGGCCTTTCAGTAGCTGAAGGGGCTCCAGTGAAAAACCATGGAGCAACAGCCCTGGTGCTGGGGAGAAGTGACCTGGACACTCACCTGGTCCCAGCTCCTACAAAGGACACACTGCCTTGCATGCCCTGAGCAAAGGGCTGTACCCTGGACCACTTCTGCCCCCACCAGCAGATCCAGGGGCTCCCTCCCAGCCCAGGCAGCATTCCACAGTGCAGGCAAGGTAGGGACACAGGCAGCCAGGGAGGAACAGAAAGCAAGATCCTTTATTGTACACAGTACAGAACGTAACGCAGTTTTGCAGGAGATACATAGCCCTGCTCGAGTAAAGATTATTTCAAACCAGTCCTCAGATTAACCCCTTCTGCACTGTAGACTTGCCACACTGAGCCAATGCCAAAAACCCTGGCCCCAAGGTGGGGTTCCCACAACCAAACACTGCCCACAGGTACAGGCCACCACAGGGAGAACAAGTCTACCCAGAGTTAATCTTCATACTTCCCCCCACTAAAAAGAATGAATCAATCAAAAGAAAAAAAAATCCAACCAAAGCTAACTAAAGAGAAAAAAATTTCCTATACAGCATTTACAACAAAAACATGTAGCCAGTGAGGGTGGGGGGACAGGCAGGTGTGGATATATGGGTGGTGGAGTAGTGTTAGGAGGCACAGCAGGGAGGGAGGAGCTAGAGGGAAGCAGGATACTGGGGTGGGGGACCCCATCCTCCTGGTCCACGGTGGCCTTACAGCCCAGCTCCAAGCCATGCCAAGCAGGGGGGGAGCGCCACTGAGCCAGCACTGTGCTTCAGCCCTGGCTCCCCAAAAAAAAAAGTGGTGAAATGGAGTGGACCAGATACTTCGGTAGCCGTCCCGTCAAACCACGGGCACCGAGGGCTCACCCTGTCAGTGTGCCACCAGGAAAGCCAAGCAGGTGTCCCCAGGGGCTGAGAACAGCAGCTGGGCCGCCAAAAATAGCTTTGCCTTAAAATACAAAAAAACCCTACAAAAAAATCAGTTTAGAAACTTTTTTTTTCCTTCCCTAAATCATTAAAAAAAAAAAAAAATAGGGAGAGAGAGAGATAATGTCAGGGTTTCCTCCCCTGAAATGCAACCCCCAGCCCACAACCGGAGCTGAGGGGAGGAATGAGAGGGGCATGGAGAGGAGCCAGGCAGGGCTGAGAAACAGTTATATCAGGATATATCGCAAGGGTGGGGGCAGTTTGGATAGAAGGTGGCAGAAGGCTCCTCGGGGTGGGGGTAGGATGCTGCGCCCATCAGCCCTGGGGTGCTGGGTCCCACCCTGCATCCCTCCTCTGTGCAAATCAAAGCCCTTTCCACCACACAAGGCAGCTATGCAGATCACGCTTGATGCAAAGCAGATTGTCATGACAATTAGCCAGGTGGCCACCGTCGGCTCGGCCCAGTGCCAGGATGC